TATATATATATATATTTGCATACGTATATAGTACAGTTACAGTTGAGAAAGTTTTTTTTTGTTTTGATTATGCTATAAGGCATATGTATGTATGTATGTAGATGCATACCTATAGTATGTGGGATATTCGCGCATTCACCCAACTAAACTTAGTCGCAATAAAGTGAATAGTTTGCATTTTTTGAAATTATTAAAGATTTATGATACATATTTATATATACACAAGCAGCAGTAAAAAACAACATTGAGGATTATACACTGTATTTATACATAGTTATATTAACATATATGCATGCATACACGAAGAGCTGCTAATTATACGACTATGGATAAGTGTGAGTAGTCATCAGCAGGAAGATTTGTTGTCAAGCTAAACTCAAGAACTACGAAGACAAGTAAAATTATTGTTAATTGATATACACTCACACACATTCACACAAACGGAAAGATTTGCAGATATACTCGTAAATTATTGAACTTGTACATTTTTGAATGATATAGAACGCGAAAGAGCTAGGGATTTTCAATAAAATTTGTAAATAATATTGAAATGCGTGAAACATTGCGTATTTAACATAACAAAAGTCACCCATATTCAAATCTTACAAAATTATTATACAGAACATAACATTTTTTGCATTTAAAACAAGAACAAACAAACCGAAAAAAATAGTAAAAATATACAAAAAAGAAAATGAAAAAAAAAAAAAACGAAACGCTTATCGATTTATAAATAAGAAACATACCAAAATAGTAAAGGAGAAACAGAAAAAGTAAAAGTGAAAGCAAACAAAAATTAGTTTTATATATATAAGATATACTCAGTGCATACTACATACATACAAATATTTAATCAAAATTGTTGCTCCTGTTTTTGCTTTGTCACGTTTGTTTACCTTGACTCTTGATAACGATTACAATCTACATATGTACATAGAAACTGAATTGTGCATTTCTTTTTCAATCAAGATATACGCAAGCTTTAAAGGAACTGCCAACAGCTTAAATTTCACAACAGACAAAACGAGCGTTGCTTATAACTTTATTAAAAACCTATATAAATACATATACATATATATATAGTTATATATAGAGATATGTATAGGGCTAACAGTAGTTGACTTTCTAAACACACGATACCTACTATCAAATAGCAAAGCGAAATAACTTGGCAGGAACCAACTTTGTTTGTCCTATGAAATCTCAGATACTCGACGTACGTGTTATCGGTCAATTTGATTTGCAGCCTTACGCTATTCGCTCTCTCAATTGCATGCAAGTACTACAGTGCTTACCAGCAATTGATCTAACCATAACGAAACTTGTATAAAATGTATAGCCATTGAACGCAATACGATTAGTGAAATGTATAACTGTACATATGTGCGATATATGTGCCATAAATAGGGAAGGAAAAGGACGGAAACGATGATACCCCATTTTGCTAACGAATAATGCATTATTCTATTCCAGATTTATACACCTGCTTTTGATCTGATTTTACATTACGAACTCAAAGAAAAACCCCTTTTTCGATGATACTATACACAAAGTTTGTTCTTTATAACAAATAAGACAGAGAATCTACTTTTCTTTCTGATTTGCATTTCTGTTATAATACAGTTTTTAATAAAGTGATCGATCAAAAGATATTGAAAAGCATAACGTAACATTAGCTATAGAGACTTTACAACTATACTAGAATATGAAATCGAAATTTTTGCAAATCTTCAAGAGTAGGTCGTTGGCTGAATTGCAAAGTGAAACACGTTTCTCTTTCATAGTATAAGCCAATCGAATAAGAAAAGATATTTTGTATAAAGCTTAAAAAAAAAACTTCAAGACAACAAACAAAAAGGAAAAAAAAGAAACTATAAAGTAAATATTAACATAACGTTCTGTATTGCATATATGATGAACGGAAATAAAGCGTAGTAATATCTAAATCAAAGCAAATGTATAAAGAATGAACAAAAAAAAAGAAAACAAAAACAGATAAATATATACGATATACAAGTTAAATTAGAGTAAACTGAATAGAAAGTATGTAATTCTAAAGGAGAATAAAACATTTATTTATTTGGCGCAATTTACACATTTCTAGAGCCAAAGACACGTTTATAAGTTAAAAATAAATATATAATATGATTAGAGTGCATTTATAATTTGCTTAAGCTTCATTTTTTATGTATATACAACAATTTTTTAAAATATATTTTAAATTTTTTGTTACAATAAAAAAATATACAAAAATTGATCAAATTAAATATTTTTAGTTTTTTTTTTACTATTTTTTTTTTTTTTTTGCAGTTTATTTGATATCAAGTGTCGACTACATCAAAAGCAATACAAAACAAGTAACATACGAAAAAAGTAAAAATTATTTATTAAAAAACAACAAAAACAACAACAAGGACAACAGAAATTATATAATAGCAGATCATAGATTTGAAGGAAACGTAGAATACATAACATGCTAATAGAGAACTCAACTAAAAATCTAGAACTACATTTATATAGCATTGCATACGAGTAAATACTACATTCAAGTATATATACATACATCTATATATATACTGAAAAATTAAATCAGATCATTAACTTTTATACACTTTACATTTACATACCACTTACAAATAGTTATTACTGGCTTATAGAGTATGACGAGTATTGTAATTAAGATTCAAGCTACAATTAAAAAAGGTTTTACAGAGTATGCCTGCAGAACAGCAAGAATAGTCAGATGAGGAGCAGTCAAAATTATTGATTATACACAGACACACATAGATGATGCAWATAAATTACCTATAAGTACATACATAAATTAAAATTACAAAAATACTTTAGAAGACAAATTGTCTCCAAATGCTTTTAAACGAACAAAACAAACATGAATAAAAAAAAAAAATATTTTACTAGCAACACGAATTAATTTGTGAAGAATTTCAGAAAATGCAAAACTTGTGAGACAAATGCCATGAAGTACTAATCGTATAACAGATCGTATAACAGTTATTAGATAAACATAAAGACATGTAACATGGATAGCAGAACGTAACTCAAGCAACTTTTTAGGTATGCAGCAAATGCTAATTATGATATTTAATACCAATGATAATGATAATGATAATGATTACGATTACGATAATGAGGCATACGTTAATGTTAAGCAAAGATTTTTAACTTTCTCCAGATAAGATAAAAATTGATATTTGCCATGTATGTTATGTATGAAACAACAGCAACAAATACTACGTATAGCAACTTAGCGAGAGAAAACATAAGGAAAGATAATGAAGATTAACATTACTAGTAACAAACTACAAAACATACACACTCAAGTTTTCATTTAACATTAAAAAACGATATATATTCAAGTGCTTCTTACATAAAATAACACACCCATATATATATATATAT